TCTCAGAGCAGGTGGCTTTGCATTTGTTCGGTTAGTTAGCCAGGGCCGGGGCCTCTGGCCTCCAGCAAAACGGTTCTCTGATCCGGCCGGCCAGCGTGTATGTCTTGCCAGCTGGTGACTTAGGATCATGTTGATCATTTTACAATCAATTATCCTTTTAAATGGACTGATCTCTCAAACTTTTGGGATTTCTGCACCTGCACTTCAACTCTTTGAGACAGTTGATAGACTGAATGGGCATCACGGCAGAGCCATGGTCTCTGGGTTCTTTCGGATCCCTCCCAGAGCCACCAGACTGGCCTCCGTGACCGTCCCTGGAGGCATGCTGCCTCAATTAAGTCTATAAATAGAAACTTCACTGCTTCAGAGAGAATATAAATCAGCTTAGCAGGACACTCTTGGGGCAAAGAAGAGGGAGGATGGGTGGGGGAGGAAGACATTTATATTATTCAATGAAATGGAAATCAGGGGAGGCAGTGGGTGAAGAGCTGGAGACAGAGATTCTTCACTGTATTGGAACAACTGACAAGCAGCCTTGGGTGCCTTCCTTCAAAGGAGAGAGCGAACTGAACATTGGGGAGAAGTAGAGTCACTCTACTGATGCTTCAAAATATGTTCATTTATTAAAACATTTCAAGGCTCAACACAAATTCTGGCTCCCTGGGAAAGCACCTATACAGAGAAAGAGCATGTTGCTTCAGCAGCAACTTGTCTCTCTGTCCACCCCACTTGGTGCTTTATGAAAACGCCTTTTGCCAGCTTCCTGGAGCTCTGCCGGCTGAGTCACAACCAATAATCCCCCTCTCATGAAGCAGCAGGGTACTAGGAAGGCTAATTCTCCCTACCCCTTCCTTCATCATATATATTCTGTGCACTGAACATTAAATAGCACTTTGCCATAACATTTTGTATCTATTCTGCTACAAAATAAAATAAACTCCCTGTATAATGCTTAACAAGCCTCACCTTGCTAAGCTGTTCCAGTAGCCAATCTACGTTCTTCATGCCGCTGTGTATGCCTATTTTCCCCTGTAGTCCACTCAGTGAAGCCAGAAAATACCATCCATTCATTCAACAAATACACATTGCATGCTTACTCAGTGCCAGGCAATGTGATAGTGTCCAGAACACAGAGCTCTCACTTCATGAGGCTTATTACTCAGAAACGGAGCTAAGGATTAAACAAGTTATTGTATAAAATATTCCACTGCAACTGAGGTACGTACAGTAGAAGACAACACACACAAAGCAGCCAACATGACAACATGAGCTGTTAGATGAGACCTGATTGGCTTAGGAGGGTCAGTAAAGGGCACCCAGCAAGGGTACCACTCAAGCTGAAATCTGAAGGATGAACGGGGTGGAGGGAAAGAAGAGAGAGCATCCTAGGAGATGGAAGAGCCAGTATGTGGAGCTGAGGCAGGAGGGGTCAGATGACTATAAATGAACAGAAGGAAGAACAGGGTGTGCGGGGGGAGGGGCAGAGAGCGTGAGGAGAACTAGCAAGGTCAAGCTCAGTCAATGCCTCACATAGCTCATTTTAAATAATGTGGACTTAGTCCTAAGGAAACAGGATGCCACTAGGGATCTTAAGGATGACAACATGGTCAGGATTTTTTTCAGAAGCATCACCCAGCACCATGAAGATAATGGACTGAAGAAGGCAAAAGTGGAAGCGAGGTGACCAGTTAGAAGCTACTTGGTAGACCCAGCAAGAAATGAGAACAGTGGGAATAGGATGACTCAGTGGATATAAAAAGAAGCAAAAAAAAATTTTAATTCACTTAGAAGGTAGAATGTACAGTATACACAGGAAGAACTAAGACAGGGGGCATGCAAAGAAGACCTTGCTGATTTTGAACTTGAGTCATTAGAGAGATGATGGTGCCATTTGCAGAGACAGAGAATGCTTGAGGGAAAGAAGCTGGTTGGAATTATTGAAAAATAAGGGCGCATGAGTTCAGAATTCCACATACTGAGTCAGAGATGTCTGGGAGACACTTGAGTGGGGAAATTCAGTGGCCACACATTAATGAAGGTCATTTGAAATTATAGCAGAGGCAAACACTCCACATTCTTTTAATTTTTTTCTGGGAAAGAAATATGTTCTAGACTTTTACCATGCAAAATGGAAGTTGCTAGCCACATGGGGGCTACTTGGATTTAAATTAATTAAAATTAAATAAATTGAAAAACTAGTTTCTCAAGAGCTCAGCATGGCCAGTGACCACTGCACTGGACATGGATATTTCCATTACAGCAGAAGTTCGATCAAACAGCCCTGCCTAGAACACCAAGCTATTTGGTGCTTGCTATTTGCAACACTCAGCTCTGGCTGGTCCCTCGGTGGGTGTTCAGCTGTCAGTCTGTCAACTCCAGGAACTAGAATCCTATGGTACTGTCTGCCCCAGGCAACACCTTGAGGATGAAGATGACGAAGACATGGCAAAGGAGGAATAATGATCCTTGTTATTCAGACATCTTTCCACCTTCCTTTAAAAGACAGATGGAGGATAAATGCCATGGAGAGAGTGTATAAGGAGTATGGGGAGTGAACCCACATTTTAAAAATATTGTCAGATCAATTGGAGCCACTAAAGTCAGATGAAAGAAAGTAGGTGCCAAGGAGGCATTCAGTTGTTATTAGATTCTGACAAAAGAATAGGAAATGCATTCATGAAAAGAGAGGGAAAGAGGGTAACTCAACTGGGGAAACAGTTTTTTCAAAAGGTTGTGTACCTTTGGAAGGCCGGCCATTGTTTTTCCAAAGGAAAACAGAATCTGTGCTGACCTGTATAGGAAACAGAGTAACAGAGGGAGAGTCCTTGGGTGGAGGAGAAGCATTCACTGTGCACCGACCTAACACCGAGCCTGGCTTGACACCCAGCTAACCCCTGGGGATTTAAACAGTAATGGGATCCTGACCTGGTGCTCAAGGAGACCCCAGTCTAAACCCCCACAACCAACTACCGGGCTGTGGGGATAAAGGAGAGCTGATAAAAATAAAATATGTGTCTTGTCAACAAATATGTAAATCAGACACCATATTTGCAATATGCAAGGCATATATTTCACCAAAAATGCCTATTCAAAAGGTACTCTACTCCTAGGTGCCTAACTTGTGGGTAGAAAGTCAAGCGGGGTGAACACCTGAGGGTCCTCGAACGTGACAGAGCAGAAGTGAAAGTGCTCCCCCACGAGTGTTTTCCTGGGCTCCATTCGTTTTAACCAAGACTAACAAGCCGTGGGCCACATCGCACAGTTTGGGTTACTCTTCATCATTTTACATTGTAAAGATTTGCTAATAACATAACCATTAGCTCATACTCTACAAAGCACTGCTCAACATGAAGTTCGAGGTTAACGTGAGACCTCCCATGAAGGAACACAGTGCTTCAGCCTGGGCTGAGAAGAGTTCTCTGGCTTTCAGAGGAGGGCATCAGGCTTTGGGGAAGATGGAAGCCTTCACGATATCAGCCTCTGTGGTTTTTCTTTGTGTTGCCATGACTTTCACTGAAATTTCACTTTCTATCAGAATAACTGACGTTTCTTTTCTGCTGGCTGTGGGTAACACTACTGAGTAAAATAGTTATCTTTAAACACGTATATTTCAATTCCTTTAGATGTGTTACTTTGCTATGTACTTTGTATCAGTTTTCATGAAAATAACTGTCCACTTGTACTATGGCTAGCTTACAGAAGAACACTCGATCATATTTTATTCTGGTAGGGTTGTTTTTTAAAAATATGTATTTGCTTTAGTTGCATATACTGATGGAATTTAGCCACATTAATCACTTCCCACTAAATTTCTTGTGTTTTATTGCCTACTGCGAACACTAAAGCCAGCATATTGCTTTTTGGCTATGTTTTCAGGGCTATCAGAATATTGCTTCATATTCAGAACTGATGATTTCCTACAAGATTCTGGCACATTTGCATGATATAACATTTACTCATAGTTTAAAATCACTTAAATGGGTAAATCAAAGTGATCAATTAGTTTGTTCTCCAAGTCATTTTCCTGTAAATTGGAAACTTAAATCCTTAGCCTTTTTAATGCTACTATAACAGTAACTGTCAAAGTAGCGAAGATTAAAATACCAGCACTCCTCTGCATTGGCAAAGACATTCTCATGAACTGTTGGTGGGGATGTGAGTCGGCACACTTTGTCTGCCGGGTGGGTAAGAAAGAGTTAAACAGTAAGCATGGCAACGTAAAGGTGAGAAAACCTTACACGTAAAAATTCATCCCCGTTATGATGTTTATCTCAATGTGACTGCTATGTGCAAAAATATCAGAATAATATGTTATTAATAATACAAGACTAAATGCATTATAGCCTGTATAAAAGGGTGGTTATAAATTGATTTGGCGGCATAGAAAGGTGGTCCTGATACAACTATATCTCTGGAATAATAACTTTTTATTTAAATGTGTGTGTGTGTGTGTGTGTGTGTACAGAAAGTATTTGGAAGAATGGAAAATTAACAGTGTTTTTTGCTCAGGTATTTTTCTCCTCTATTCTTCTCTAAATGTTCTAATTTTTATATAATAAACATATATTGCTTTCATAGTTAAACCATTACTATATTTAATCCTTGCCCGAGAACATTTTTTTCTTTGCTTTTTGAGAGAGAGGAAGGGAGAGAGGCAAACATCAATGTGAGAGAGAAGTATTCACTGGTCGCCTCCCACATGTGCCGGGACAGGGGAGGTGACCACAACCTAGGTGTGTCCTGACCAGAAATTGAACCCACAACCCCTTGGTTACAGAAGGACACTCCAACCAACTAAGCCACACCAGCCAGGGCTTAAAACATTAAGTCTTTAGAAATAGCTACATTGGAATGTTTTTTAAACTGTCCTACATCTAGGCACAGGGGTTCCGAACCCATCTAGCAAGAACCACCTATGATGCACCGAATCTGATGACGGCCTTCGCTCCCAAACCAGTTCCCCTGGCTCAGCTGTCCCCTACTGCATGAGGAAGGCTCACCAGGCTGTCCTGGACGCACGGGGTCTCCACAAGCCTCTGGACTCCATTCTCCACGGTGACTCCCAGCCAGTTGAGCGCTGCCCAGCACCAGAGGTAGTCGTGCCCACCATGCCAGTAGCTCACAAATGCAAAAGTTGTCGCAGTGGAAAACAGCGTCCCCAGCAGGCCATGCTGGGACCCGCCCACTGGGATGTACACGTACCTAGAGAAAGAAGAGGCTGTTAGGACCCATGCAAAGGGCAGTCCCTGCAACGCAACCTGTTGCCAGACTTGACTCTTCTGTCACACATTGATAATCACTGTGAGCAGACCCTTCCCTATTCCAGGAGGCTGCAGAGCGCTCCTTGAATTCTCTACCATGTAAGGAGTTGGCAAAAACACAAGTCCTCACCTCTGCAGGGCTTTAGGTTAAATGAACACAAGGCTAAAGGGCAGTCATTACCAGAACAAATAGCACTTACAAGAGGCAGGGTGAAGAGTAATGCATTTAGTTCCTAAAAGCGATGTGTCCAACCCTAGAAAGCCAATCACCAAACGGCAGTTAAGCTCTGGCTATATGGATGCTGACATTCAAGGCAGGTATGTATTTTAAGCTCAAACTACGGGGTCCGGCGGAAGTAACACCTGCTTGAGTGTGGTTGGTAGGGTAATAAATAACATGGGTGCAATAATTTATAGTTTTAATGTGAACATTTCACTGATATTGTTACATGGTGTGCTTGAGCATGATACTGTTACGTTACAGAGTTACCTTCTTATGATTTTTAATAGAAGATTTAGTAATTAAAAGGGGGCATTACTTGTGCCAGTTTATGGTAAACCCAGTAGATAAGCATAGCTGCTGAAATGGCAGGAGCTGGGTGCAGAGGCGGGTGCCTGGGCTGCTCCCTCCGCTTTGCGGGCAAGTTGCCCAGAAGCAGTCGTGACTTCGCAAAGAAAGAGAAAATTTCTGTGTTCACACGGCAGTCAAATTATCACCCCACATGTGCAGCCATCCCTGGGTACGCTGTCCACGGCCGAGACAGCTGTCTGACCGCATACCAGTGGGACCATGTTCTTCCAGTCAGTGTTCTCCTGCTAGAGGTGGACGAAACTCACAACCCGTGGAGGTAGGACCTGGAGAGCTAGGCATGTACCCTTCACAGTTTGTCCTGTCTGTGTATTAGTGTTTGTAGGAAATTATGTTTTGAAAATCATTTTTGAATAGAACAGTTTTATGGGTAAGCCAAAAAATAAACATAAAAACCACTCCTCCTTTACCTTCGAATATGATCCAGTTTAGATTATTATTGTAACCTATTAATTATACGATCAGCTTAGACAGCCCCATTTTATGGATGAAAACCCTGAGGCTGAGAAGCAGAGTTGACCAAGATAGGCAGCTAGGAAGGGGAAGAGCCAATCGGCATCTATGGCAACCAAGTCAATATTTTCCATTACACCTCTGGGTTTATTTGGAAAAGCTTCTATTTTACAACCCAGTCGGAAACACACCAGAAAGCATGTAGCCATTTCAAAAATAAGTAAAGCAAAGAAAATACTATCTTCTGTGCAAAACCAAAACCATCTCTGGCAGTCAAATTAGCAAACACGTATCAAGCGCTCACTTCAAGTTACGGGATCCCCTACCTGCTGTTAAGTATGTAGTCAGGCCTCAGGGGCAGTCCCGGCATTATGGGAAACATAGAGACAGAAGACATTGCTCCTGCCAAAAGGGGGGCATAGCTGATTGTGAAACAACAGCAAACACGCCCCACATTAAGCTGCACGATATGGTACAAGGTAGACCACGAGGGTTTAAGAACATGGAGGAGAAGAGGGTCAGTGGAGGGAAGTAGGGTAGAGGAGGCTTAATGGCAAAAGTCTCTACTTGGCAAGGCCCATAGGATGAGTTTCTCTAGGCAAAGGGTGGGTGTTGCACCCTCAGAAGGGTGGGTGCTGCACCAGGACTTGGAAGGGCTGGGTGTTGAGCCAGAGGCCTGGAGCCCAGGCACGATAGTTTTCATTGGTGTTCTGCTGCCCCCTAGAGGCCACGTGGTCATTGAAAGCTAAAAAGAATCACAATTCTCATGGGACCGGACATAACTGCTGTCCATCATGTTCCTCCATTTGGATGAACTTACATTGGGCTGGCCAAAAAGCTCATATGGTTTTTTTATAACATAAAGGTATATTTTCATTTTCACCAATAACTTTATTAATTTGAATATTTTGAGTAGGTTGTCTATCTCCCATGTTGGTTGTTTTCAATGTCTCGATTTGATCACTATCAGCTTCAACTGGTCCACTCAACCATAAAGCATGGTCCAGTGAGAAATCTCCAGCACGAAACCTCACAAACCACTTTGGACATGTTTGATCAGTCACAGCACCTTCTCCATACACTGCACAAATTTTTTGTGTGTTTCAGTTACATTTTTACTTCTCTTAAAATAATAAAGCATAATATGCCAAAGATGTCACTTATTTTTTCCATCTTCAATATAAAAATAGCTACACAAAAATTCACCAATTTTGATGTTTTTTTTAAATGCACTCTGATATGCCATCTGTCACAATGCAATCTAACAAAGTTGTTTCAAATGAAATTCAAAACCACTAAGCACTACTGGAGCCATCTGACGGGAAAAAAACGAACGAACTTTTTGGCCAACCCAGTACAGTCAGTGCTGTGTGTGAGGAAGCTGAATACAAAAAAAGAAGGGGCAGTTAAACCAATTTCAAAAGTATGAGGAAAGACTACTGTTTGTAACTTTGCATACAACTGTTTTACAAAACAAGTTAATAGTAATACAGCACTATTTTGCCTAACAGCACTATTTCCTGTTGAGATTTCCACTGCATCTCACTAAATTATATCAAAGTGAGCTGCACTGTATATATCAGAAAACCCCGTAGAGAATAGAGACCACTCGTCGTTCACAACCAGGGGACCTTAATGTGGGATCCAGCTCCAAAAGGGGTGCATTTGCAGGCTCGTGACTAGGAAGCATGAAGCCCCGTAATTACATGCTCAGCTATTTCAGGCCTCTCTTGGCACAGTGGCCTTGTTACTGTGCCTTCAAAGTGACGGCCGACAAAAATTCCTTTTCTTGTAGACATTCATGTATGACGGGTCTCCAGGGACATGAGGCTACTTGTTTTAAATCAGAAGAGGGTATGGTTTCCAGGCAGGAAGATAAAAATCACTTCTTCACTCTGAGTTTCTAGAAAGGACTGGGTATGTCAGAAGGACGGTAAACAGGTTATTTCCTTCTACAAATTCCATCAGTCTTGTGTCAGTTCCATAATTAATAACAACAGAACCATGTCTCTCTTTTAGAAAAGCAATAGTATGACCCAAGTTACTAAGATCCACTGCACAGTGAAACTGATTTCCCAGTGGAAGAAGCAAAGCCTTCTCAACACAGCAAAAAGGAAAGACTCCTTCTTGTCAGATACGGCGTGAGCAGGGGTTTGCCGAGGCCCTGCCGGGCGGGCTTCGTGTGCTCACCGCCCGCAGAGAAGGCTGCTCAAGGAAGCGGCACCACCTGCAGCCGCCACCTCACAGGGTCAGCGCAACGCAGCACACCCCAAGCCCAGGGAAGTGACCTTCGTAAAATGTGATGTTATTAATAACAGCTACCCTTTACTGAATATCTGCAAGCCAGGTGCTTCGCACATACCATTTTTTATCATTAAAACAACCTTGCACCCTGACCCCTGTGCCTTGGTTGGGTGTTGTCCTGCAAAGCGAAAAGTTGCCAGTTTGATTCCGGGTCACATGCCTGGGCTGCTGGTTCAGTCCCTGGTTGGGTCAGGTAGTGAAGGCAACTGATTGATTTTGCTCTCTCACAGAGATGTTTCTCTCCCCTTCTTTCTCCCATCCTTTTCCTCGCTATAAAAATAAATAAATGAAATCTAAAAATAACCCTGCAAGGTATTAATGGCAAGGCCTGTTGTACACAGGAGAGGTGAGATCTGAACCTAGAATATTCTGGTTTCAGAACTCCCAGGCCAGTATGCTATTATGCTATTTATCGTTATGGGACCATTTCTTGGTGACATTTTCATCTTACTTAACCAAATCTTCAAAGCCGTATCCACAGAAACATCCACTAATATTTTATTAACCGGAAAAATGCCCTTTGTAGGAAAGGAATCTTGCTTGGGAGAAAAATACTCATTTCAAAGGCATTTAGGCCAAAAAGCTCTGTCTCAGAGGCCAGAGGTATGAGTTCAGTTTCTAAACAAGCTAGTTTCCCTGAGTCTCACAAGCAGAGGTTACCCGCGCTGTTGCCCAGGAGGGCGTCCCACAGCTAGATGCCCGACTGTGGAAGAAGTGGAGCGTGAGAACCTGATGATTGGGGCTTGCCGCTGAGAAGGTATATGTGAAGGCAGAGGAAAATATCTATCTATTCCTCTCCTATCCGCCATGAAAAACTTGGGACTATGCCCTACAGCTGGGGACAGGAGTGGTGAGAATCCAAGTGGTAAATACATTAATCTTAAAACCACGACACTCCTTTTTTCCAGGACAGACACCACAGCTCCCCGGCTTGCCACATTATCTTCCAACTCTCTGCCGAGGACTGATCCCCAGCCCAAGATAACAGGATGGGGCACCTAAGATAGCTGGGTTCTGCTGTCCCCGTGGGTTAGGAGAGGTGCTTGCAGGGTTCCCCTTCTCGTCAAGCACCGACTGCTTGCAGGGCTGAGGCAGATGCCCTGTTCCAGCTCTGCCTCATCTCCCACGCTCACGTCCAGTAGTTCTCCTGAAAAAAATCTAACATCCTGAACAAATGGGGCTCTCACACCTCTGCCCTCTCTGGCTTTCCAATTCCTAGTCAGTCTACAAAATTCAGTTGATTTTCTGCCGCCTCCCGAAGTCTCTTTTGAATATTCCAATTCTCTATTTACCCAGAAAGCCTACAGTTTCCCCTGCCTGCACGGTTATTCTCCAAAAGATGTCTTTTCCATTAGGGTTGTCATTGTAACTTACCGGAAAAGTTCCTTCGAGCTGCACAGATGTGTGTGTGCACGCATGTGGGCACATGCAATGCTAATTGCTAGCCCACAGTATTTATGTATGTAACAACATAATTTTATTTTTCGTAGCCTCAAACAGCTTTTAAACTTGTGCTAAATGTCATCACTGTCACAGACAATTAGGAACCAAGGGATGATGATAAGGTCCTACTCCAGTTTTGAGAGACTTCAGGA